AATAAAATAAAATGCTTAAAAAATGAAGTATCGAATACCGAAACCGAAATATTTCAAAACCGAAATGAAAAACTGAATAACATTTTTGTTCGGTTATTTTTTTTAAAATTCGATTAACCAAAAACCGTCTAAAATATTTCAAAACCGAACCGAATAATCGAATGAACACTCTTATCTTTGTGTTGTGACAACTAATGCTATTGGAACTACTTTTCATGTTTACGGTATGGCAATTTAAATGGTAGAAGTAGGAGGTATTTTTCAGGTTTATGACATGACAATTCTAATATGATGAATTGAGTATTTAAATATGTAAACAATCTAAATTGGAATACACAAGAAGCCACAACTTTGAGAAACCAAACTCTATTAGATTTTAAAATTTTAAAAATTTACTAAGATGTAATTAATCGCCACTGCTAATCTGCTATGACTGAAACAAATACAATTTTGTTTTTTAATCATGATAAACAAATTCTTATAAAAAAAAATTGGTGGAATATAAAATATTGGAAGAAAGTAACTTATTAAATAATGACTCATGGCTAATAATTCATTTTCGGTGATTGAATTTTAAAATCTAAGCTTTCATTTGCTATCTATTACTGTATTCCTTATTTATTTTTCTAATAAACTATTTTTTTATTTGTTGAGGAGTAAAGCATATTAATGAAAATGAAATATATTGTTTGTAAATTGGTTTGTATTGTTGTTGATCTGGAAAGCCATCTAGATTTTGTAGGTGTTGTTGAAACTAGCAGCCTCCTGCAACACTTGTGTCAAGTCCTACTTTTGTAAAGTTATTGATACGAGAACAATTCAATAAACTATTCTATTGATTTTGAATGAATTTTGCTCTCAAAATTCAGCATCTCCAATGATGGAAATTAGGTTTGGTATATTATTTGCCCTTTTTTTTTTTTTAATTCCATGATTATGAGAAGATAAATTGTGAAGGCAAGGATGATATAGTTGAGTAGAGAGAATGAATTAAGAAGATGCCTAATCATGTCTTATCTAATTTAAAAAAGTTTTAAAATTTTGATTTTATATTATAGATAGAGTGACAGTTATTTTACAAACCATTACAGTGAAAGTAAGTTGTATGTGCCTTTTTTTTTCCCCTAATCTCCGAGGTTTTCTTAATCTAAATATCTGAACTAATCCCCTTTTATTTGTTTAGGCACACAAAACGGACATAATTATTAAAAAAAAAAAATTCTGTTTATATATAACTCGAACACAAGTGTGTGTGTGTGTTTTTTATTTTTTTTAAATAATAAATATATATGTTTCCTAACTTTACTGTTATATCCGTATATTGGATTGTACTTTACGCACTTTCTACTTATATGCTTTAGATTTGGGTCGTTGGTTTATCCATATCCCAAGTCTGGTTTGGAGATTAGGTCACATACAGAAATATGGTTTGAAAAGAAATCCATTTGAATTAGACATCACTTGTATCCATCCATCACTTGCTTCGATTTTTGCCGTTAAATTTGACACATGTCGCTCAATCATTAGTTAATGTTTTTTATTTTTGTCAATTTTTTAAAATAGTAGATTGACTAAAAAATATTTCAAAAAAACAAATAAGATAATAAAACCAAAAAAAGAGAGAAGAGTATATTTTACTTAATTAATTAACTTGACTAAAACCAAGGGTTAGCAGCATCCAAACCCTTCTTTTAGTAAACATGCCAACCAAACAAAAACTGTCAAAATGTACTATTACAAGCTTACATTGGATACTTTGCCACAGCATGACAGCAATACCAGCGAACATTATTTATTGAGTCAATATATTAAACATGCATTTAACATTGGCCTTTTAAATGTATATGGGTTTTCCCACATGCGGATCGTTTGTTTTTCGATTTCTTTTTTTATTATTTTTTTTTTATTGAAGTCCTTTATTTATTTTTTATTGAAATTTTTTATTTTTTTATTTTTTGTTTTGTTTTAGACCTGTTATTATAACGCTACTAATAAATAATTAATACGTAATTTTATAAAATAAGAAATTTCGAAAAGCATAGATAATGTGTCAATCACTTATTATTAACATTATAATAAAAATTTTAAATTAAGAAATGTTAAAGACTAAAGAGTTTTAATAATAATAATAAAAAAAAGAGAAATGAAAAATAGAGTCATGTTTGGGGAAAACACAAACATAAACTATATATGGACGTGTGATAACTAGCTAACCATGGTAGAATATATGTAAAGTGCGAATCTTATCTTCACACCACGCATAATAATAATAATAATAATAATAATTCTACATGGCTCATATTCTAACACAACTCACATATATATATATATATTATGAAAAGACAAAGAAAAGATACTAATATAACGTAACAAATAATATATAACTGTAATTTTGTTGAGTTAATTGAGATGGGTCTGCCCATGGCATTGTTTCAATTGAAATGGAATGGAAGCGCTGGTGGAGCTAGCTAGTATTGCAAATAAATAATAAATGCATATGCCGTTGGACTCACAATCTTTTGAATCAATTGTAAATTGAGCAAAAACAATATGCTTATTGATATTGTTGTATCTAGTTCGATTTTCAGGTTTACTTGCATCACTCTGATTTATGTATTCGAAACTTCTATTTGCTATGATGCTTCCACAAATCTAATAGTTTAGTTAGGCCTACCTGGAAACCCTTCACCACGAAGAGTTCTATTATATTGAAATATCATAGGTTTAAACAGAAATAGTTACATTACAATTTTAGAACATTCTATTACGATTATTTGACATTAAATAATAGCTACGATCATTATTTTATTATTAAGATAAATTAGATATATGATTACGACTGCAATCATTTTTTCAACGGCACCTACAATTTAAAATTATGGATAGGTTCTATTATTTTGAAACATCTAGAGCTATTTGAGTTAGTAGCATAGAGCTTGTAGAGAAATGTTAATAATCTAGCACCTCTTACAAAAAAGGATTGTGCAACAATAGAAATAGGATTCATGAAGATTATGCAACCATGGACTGCCAATTCCTTTCGGAAACTCATGGATGAGGACTACATAAGTCAAGAAAAACTGCATAAACATGTCCACAGAAAATCGTGCCATTCAAAAGCATATCAACAGCACCATATATTTAAAAACTTCCACAAATGGATCAAATAGCCCCTACTAGTAAGTATTAAACAGCCTCTCTGCAGGACTATGCAGAGCAATAACTTCAGCTGCCCAGAAGAACCAAGAAAACCAGATGGGAGAGAGAAATTCCTTTGAAGAAGGGTTATTAACCTGACTTCGAATGCTTTCCATGACAAAAGATATTCTGATAGAGCTTCCTCTGGAATTTGCGCTAAGATCATACATGAAATGTTCCTCTGATCAGCAGAGTCCAGCACAACTAACTTTGACATCCTCCCCAGGAAATCGATCACATCTATTAACCATGAATAGACTGCCTTCATCGCTTTCTAGAGAACGTGGCAATGATCATTTTTTCCCATGGATATGGAGAATGGGAAATTTTATTGGGAAAATATAAACTGATAGATCCCAGTCAAAGCTAGATATTTGTAAAAGAAAGTATTTTCTTTAAGGTGAGAATAAACCGTGCAATTTTATTAAAATTCTTGGACCCCCTTTACTGCTAACTCAGGGTATTTAAATACATTAAGGACTCAACTACTTTGCTGAACAAAAGGAAATAAACGGCTAATAGCCAACAATTTTTCTAACTTATTGACCGAATCCTATGGAAATTTAAATAACAACTAACTTGACTCAGATAAGATAAATAACAACTACTGCTAGTTTTAAGCCATGATCTGCAAATCTATAATTCTGGAATATCCACTTGGTCCACGTCTACAACTTACATGTCCCACGTAGTTCCATGCAAACCCATCCATTTAACTCAGGTATCTCAGGTTCTTGATGGGCACACGTGCAAACCTCCTTGGCTTATCAAAATAATTTGCATGATAACTGCTCAAGAGGCAGGAAAAGTTATTGGATGAACCGATAAAGAAGCAGTTTGGAAGGGGGCAGGAGATTGGTACATAGATGCATTGCTTCTCGTGCTCAGGTTTCAGACTGTATTTCAACACTGCTTTGCACCCACACCTTCTGTTTTGGCACGATACGTTTGCTGATTCAACCACTTTCTCAATGGCCTTGCAATTGTTATTATCGATCGAGATAAAAATTGCAGCAAGGGCATAAATTCTGATGCTTAGCGCTGCAGGGTGAGCAAGCTAGATGCCCGTTCACACACTAAATTGCCATACAGTCCCTGGAAATTAAATTGTTAGAATTATACATACAAAGTATGGCATGAAAAGAAGCTTTTAGAGGTAACATTATGCAAGTTCACGAACTCGTTTTTCGTTAAAGAAGAGTTGTGTCATGCAAATTGGAAAGGACAGCAGATTCATCCCCTTGTTTTTTCATTATGAAAAAAATCCATTAGGAACTACCACAGAGGCTTGAACACAGCCACGCAGGGCTTGTAGATATCATATGTTTTCATTTTTTAAACTACAAATAAATTCTCAGCAACATCAGAATTTCTGACTTCCTTTAGTCTTTAACCTAAAGAAAACCTAGCTAACAACTAAAGATGGTTAGTCTCTGATAAAAAAGAACATCATCTTCCACATTTTTTCAGGTCACCTTTGAAACCCTATATCTATCGGGCAAAACACTGCTTTTTAATTAAACTTCCTTCTCCTAATGACTTCTTACAATATAGCAAGAATTTGTTAGTATGGAATCTACAAAGCAAAACATTATGAACCCACAATTTAATATCAAGCACAAAGGGAACATTTTGTTTTCTTATGTGTCATTTTATTCTATTGTCACTTCCTAGCAGTTAAGAGGAAAACAAGAAAACCGAGAGAGAGAGAGAGAGAGGAGGGGGGGGGGGGGTGGTGGGCGGCGAAGTGAACATTGAACAGACCTGAAAAAAGGAATGGTTAAGGGCTTTAAGCAAACAATTCAATCAAGCAGTTTTGGGTTGATTAGTGTCAAAGAATTGGACGCAGAAACATCCGCTTCTCCATGCACCGAGTTTTCCACCATCTCTCTCTTTCCCTCTCCCTTTCTCCTTCTTGTGTTTTTGTTATGCCCTACGTGTTCTCGTTCCCCTGATTTACATCCGAAAATCTCTTTAACTATGATGTAGGGTAAACTACGTACAATAACCCTTGATGTATAATCAGATTATAAGCACTACCCAAAATTTGTAAATTTGACAGAAAGGTCATCAATGTTTAAGAAAATGTTAAAAGCAAGAGATTTCCTACACTAGTCCTGAACACGAATTAAGAAGGCGGCATAATTATTTATGCTCTTTTAGTTAAGAAACACTCTGAGAGAGCACGTGCAATTGAATTGCAAAATCAAACACAAATCAAGAGAAACAAAGTCTAGCATATGCTTCGTACTTCAACAAACATCATTACTTGAATGTTGCAGAACATTCACCCTCAGGCCATATGCATAGATCCATGGTGATGCCTCCGTTAGCACCAAAGAACTTCCTGGGAACTAGAAGAAACCCTTCTGAAGGAGGTCTATCAACCCTGCTTTGGATGTTCTTTGTAAAAGATTGCAACTTGAGATTGCATCTTTCAGTCTTTGCTGTAAGTTCAAAGAAGTATCCTGATCCCTCCATGGAAGAAGACCGTAAACAACTAGTGATGAATAAATGCCGAAAAAACACTTGTTTTCTACGGTTGACAATAAATATAACACCTCCTCTTTCTTGAACAACAAGTGCTTTTTTAAACATGGTAAAGAAAATAGGGAAGGTGGAACCAAATCGGAAGGATATTGCAACTTCTGCATGCTCGCTGGAATGATGTTGGTACACCTGATTTGATGAGCCTATGAATTTGCATAGTGGCTGAGGGCATGAACATGAAGCGAAGATTCAAGCCTTATCATGGTCATTTTTCTTGATGTAACTTACTGTTTCTTTGCAACCATACTTCATATTTGGACACGATATGTTGATTGATTCGAGAACCTTCTCAATGAGAAAGCATCTGTTTTTGCCAACAGGCAATGAGCAGGAAGAACATTCGTACGCAAGCTTTTCCGAGCAGGAAGAGCAAGTTGTATGTCCATTGTCACACTGAAATAGTCATCAAGTAGATAAAATTATGGACCTTATAACATGTTATAGAAGGAACATTCACAAGGAATTAAAAGATTGGAAATTAATTCATAAGAAACCATGAATAAGAGGGGCCAGAGAGGACAAACCTGAAAGACAGGAATGCTCAAGGGTTGAAGGCACATGGCGCAGTCGAACAATTTTGGGTTGGTTAGGGTGAACTGAAGAGACCCTTCTCCTTCAACATTTTAAACCAGTCCCATCTCTTTGTCTTGGTTTTTTTTGTACAGTATCATCTCGGGCTACAGAACTCAGTTTCTTTCGAATTGGACGTCGCTTTATCCTTACACGTGCTCATTCTGAGATTAACTCCATCTCTCTCTCTCTCTCTCTCTCTCTCTAAATGGATCCATTTCTTCGCATCTACTCATGTAAATGTAGTACTTCCAAGTCTCTAGAATCTTGTTCGTTTCTACTTTGACTTTCAGTTTCCTGCATGATTCAAATTAAAAACAAATTTGGAATTCTGAAAAGACTTCAGTTTTCAAAAGGTTGCGGCTGCCTTGCAATAGACACTAGTGCCGAAGCATTTGCACTTGTAACTAAGCATTTTCAAAGCCTTTTGAATTTATGTTAATTCATAAGACTGTTGAGCTTCACAAAGTCTCGACCTGATGATAAGTAACACCTGAAAATGGAACCTATTGTTTGCCTCACTCTAGCATTAATTATACCTGCTCCCAATGGCTGCTCTATTAAAAGAGAAAGTGTGAAACTACACACAAAAACATAAAAATAATAAAACATTGTTAAAGCTACTGAGTTAACCCCGCAAAAGCTACATTTACATACCTCTGTTTAGCAAAAAATGTTATGTTTAATACTTACAAGCCAAGTGTTGTATTTCAGAGAATCACTTGCTTAGATTAGCAAGGATTTATTCATGCGGAAGCTTTTGGTTTAGGAGGCTAAAGGATATATTTTTAGAGCACGAGGATGCATAAAGAGATTTTTTATTATATCATTGCAGCTCTTTCCAAAATGGAGTCCACTTACCTATTTATAGGTTTATAACTTAATGCTAAAGTAAACTTAGCTATTAAGCAAAAACAACTCATAGTTGCTTGCTGTCATTCTTAATAGATAAGTTTTCTAAATAGCTAAGTATTAAAAATAATATAAATGATATACTAAGGTCTTACCTAACAATTTAAGCTTTTGGGTGAGATGTTTCTTTAACATAGTATCAGAGTCTTGATGATTAAATGGTTGTGAGTTCGAATCCTACCACCCCTCTATCCTAAAGCTTATGGTCTTTGACACTAAGTTTATGAGAGATGAATCATGTTTCCCATCACTCCTCCTTGATGAATTTCCCATAAACTCCCAAGTTTTCCTCTAAAGTGTTCAAATTTAGCCTCAGTGAAAATGTCTACAATCTGCTCATCTGTGCTGCAAGTGACTGAGATTAATTTCACCTTCATTTTCAGCTTATCCGAGACTATGATATTTTATTTTAATATGTTGAATTGGATTTTTGGCAATGGCAATTGCTGATTTACTATCACAATTCATCTTGGTAGGCTCCTTTTGACTTTCTCCCATTTCGGAGAAAATCTATCTGGTCCCTATTGCTTGGTTCTTTCCTTCGCAAGTTGCAATATATTCTGCTTATGCAGTGGATTGAGCCACTGTGTCCTGCTTATGTGATAACCATGAAAATACACCATTTCTACATACGAAAGCATAACCTTATGTACTGTTCATATCATCTAGTGAACTAACCCAGTCACTATCTGTGTACCAAACCATCTCTGGATTTTTTGTGGTTTGTACCAGATCCCAAAATTAGTGGTACCCTTGACATACTTGAGTACTCGTTTGGCTACCGACAAATTAGTTTGGGTTGGTTTTTGCATAAACCTGGATAAAAAGCTTGCTGCGAACATGATATCAGGTCTAGTTGCAGTCAAATACAATAGACTATCCATCATGCTTCTATATAAGCTTTCATCTGCTGATGGTGAACCATCTTCCTTCATTAATTTTTCGTTTGGAACCAGTGGGTCACCCATTGGTTTGGAATCTTTCGTCTGAAACTTTCTCAACAAATTCTTAGCATACTTTTTTCTGGCAACTAAAGATACCTTTATCACCTTGAGTAATCTCCATACCCAGAAAATAGTTCATCAAACCAAGATCTGTCATCTCAAATTCTGTCTTCATATCTCCCTTGAAAGTTGTGGTCATCTTGGAATTGTTTCCTGTGACAATGAGATCATCTACAGATAAAGAGATAATTACAATGTCGGATCCAGGAGTCTTTATGTAAAGTGTATGCTTTCTAGGACTCCTCGCCTTATCATAAAAATAGGAATCGATACTTTTGTACCAAGCTCGTGGAGCTTTTTTCAGCCGTATAAAGCTTTTTTTAGCTTCAGGACTTTTTCTTCTTCGTTAAGTAAAAAACTAAGTTATTGTTTGATAATCAGTAATAAAGTAGTGGGAATGAAAATAAAATTTTTATTCTCACATTGTAATTGTTTGATTAAAAGGAATGAAGTGAGAATGAGAATGAAGAGTGAGAATAAAAATAAAAATTTACACACAACTTCATTCTCATATAAAATGTGAGAATAAATATAAGGACCGAGAATGAAATTTTTTTTCTTCAATATAATAATATATTTTATTTATTAATTATTTATTAATTATTTTTATTACACCATCGCAACCAACTCTCGCACCACCATTGCAACCACCATAAGCATCACAACCGCAACCCCTAGAAACCACCACCAATACCATCATCTTTATTATTTTTAAAACTATTATAGTTTGATAAAATTATTTTTTAATCATTATTTTTATTTGTATAAAAAACCTAATATTAAAAAAGTTAAATTGTATTCCAATTCTATATTAATATTTCAAATATAGTATGAGAATATAAATGCCATTCGATTCCTTAATTTTCATTTCGATTTCGTATTCTCATTTCGAATATTTTATTTTTGATAACTAAACAACACCTAAAAGAACTAGGACAAATAAATAGTAAATATTGTTCATTTACTATTCATTTACCTTAGTTCACTTGTTCATTAGAATGATAATTTTGTGATTTTATCTAATGGCTTTTTTGTAATTTTTTATAGTTTTTTAAGCATTCATTTTTAAATTTTACCTTTCATTTTTTTTTGGTCCCTTATGTTTTCAAAATGTACTTTTACATCCTCATATTTTTAAAAATATTTTGACATCTCATATTTTTAACTTAGTCCATTTTTGTTTTACATTTTTTCAAAATATATCTTTTGCTCATATTTTTAAAAGATGTTTTTGGCCTTTATATTTTTATATTTTAGAACAAACACATATATCGAATTATATTTTTTTTATTAATTAAAATTAATCTCTTAAATTTGTCATTTATTATAAAAATTCTCAACAAATTCTTAGCATACTTTTTTCTAGCAAATAAAGATGCCTTTATCCATACCCGTAAAATAGTTCATCAAACCAAGATCTCGTCATCTCAAATTCTTTCTTCATATCTCCCTTGAAAGTTGTGGTCATCTTGGAATTGTTTCATGTAACAATGAGATCATCAACATATAAAGAGATAATTAAAATGTTGAATCCCCGAGTCTTTATGTAAAGTGTATGCTCACTAGGACTCCTCCAAAAGCCTTATCATAAAACTAGGAATCGATACTTTTGTACCAAGCTCGTGGAGCTTTTTTCAGCCGTATAAAGCCCTTTTTAGCTTTAGGACTTTTTCTTCTTCATTACGTAAAAAAACTATAAGAACTGGGACAAATAAGCAATAAATATTGTTCATTTACGATTCATTTACCTTAATTCACTATTCATTAGAGTGATAATTTTGTGATTTTATATACTAGCATTTTTGTAATTTTCTTATAGTTTTTTAAGCATTCATTTTCAAATTTTACATTTTATTTTTTTTATCCCTTATGTTTTCAAAATGCATTTTTAAATCTTCATTTTTTAAAAAATATTTTGACATCTCATGTTTTTAACTTAGTCCATTTTTGTTTCACATTTTTTCAAAATATATTTTTGTTCCTCATATTTTTAAAAGATGTTTTTGGCCTTTTATGTTTTTAGATTTTAGAACAAACACATATATTGGATTATATTTTTTTATTAATTAAAATTAATCTCTTAAATTTTTCATTTATTATAAAAATTCTCATCAAATTAATTTTTTTTATTTTTTATGAAATTTTATTTGTTAATAAATATGATTTATATTTTTACGTGTATAAATTTTTAATATGTTTTTTTTAATAAATTATAGAATGCACACACACACACACACACACACACACACACACACACATATATATATATATATTACCTTATTCTTGATATAATCAATTTTTTTGGAATAAAATTTTAAATTATTTTTATTACACTCTATTAACTTTAATATATTTCTTACAATTTATCTTTTTTTAAACATATTTTTGACATTTATACAGAGTATGGTAATGATATATACAAAAAATTATTGAAACCATTGATTT